TGTTTCAGGGGCTGTATGAGGGACTAAGAGTCATCATAACATGCAACATATGTTTGTTGTCTATTTAACTTGACGTTAACGCGAATGTACTGATATCTCAAACCTTGTATTTGGTCACCTCGAGCTCAACCTCACTAAATGAATACATATAAAAAAAATTACACATAAACAGTTTTGATGAACTCAAATAAGAATTTTATATAGTGCTGAGCTATAATATATACTTATATAAATGGTAATTTTTTTAGAAAAATAAAACAATGTGTGTAGACATGAGTAAAAACATAGCACTTCCTGGTTACATCTAAGGGTACTTTTCAAAGTGGGATTTATGGAATTAAAGCCGTGTGACGCTGCTCACAATATCCAAGCAGTGAATTAAAAAGATAGTGGCAAGAGTGACACTTTGTTTTTATCGAGTAGACAGAATGTATAAAAATGAACTTCAGATGTAATATTAACCCACTTTGCAATTTGTTGGAGATCACTGGATCTAATTTATCTACTCTGACATGCAAATAAAGTTGAGAGTATTTACAATGCAGACAAAATAGGATGTGATGCAGGCTGTGGAATCCGTAATGAAGTAGAAAGACAGCTTCAATGGATTTAAGTATCCCCAACCACATCCTACCCAAAGACATCCAATAATGGTACTTGTTGTTACCCTGCCTGGCACTCGGCATTAAGGGGCTAAAACAAGGACTTGTTGACTGAGTCAGTATACTGTGTCTGAGTGGGGATTTCTTTAAAACTGCAGCATGGTATGTCATTGGGCTGGCGCTATCAAACCGTCATTAATCCAGACTAGTACAAGCAGGCACACACACACATTCATTGCTATGTAAGTGAAATAATCTTGAATGTGACATTAAACCCCATTTCACCTCACCTCACCACAACTAAATACTTCTAATATGAATATATAATGGTATATTTTTATTTTAGTTTTTCAGTTTGCATTTGAGTATTTAGCTTACTAACACAGAAGATCATATATACTGAAGACATTTTAACAAGAACAAACTTGAAACATCACTTCTTGGGCAGTTTACATTCAAATGTGATGTGTATATAATTTGTGATAAACAGAACAAAACATAAGTTATTTTATGGCATTTGCCTTGAAGACGACCTAACCCAGGAGCAGAATGGACCCTTAATAGTGACTGACAAGTGTCCGACAGTCTGGAAATTAAGGGGTGTCCTTGGGTCCTTTGGTCCTTTGTGTTGCTCCTATACAATTTGATTATAGGTACCCCCAAATTCTTAAGTTTTGATTTTAATGCCATAACAAGGACCCCTTGTTTTTCTTGCTTAGTTTGGAATACTCTGACTATGTGACACGAGGATCGTGTGGTTTTGTTTGACTGTACTTAAAGTGTGTAGTACCTCAATGGGTTGGATCAGTGCTTATGTCAGCTGGCCTGCCACACCTGTCAACATGTCTCTGTCTGTTTGTTGTTTTGTAACACTGCACTCAGCAACATTCCAGCTGGTACGACACACTACCAACCATGTCATGGAGTCCGCTCACCGGTACCATTAGGGCACCTCTTACAACAAGCATAAGTTAGACATTGTTTCATGGAACCAGCCCTCTTCATTATGACCATCCTTGTGATCTTGGCAACAGATACGAGGGGTGCACATGTTCATTGAAGATTTCCCCTAAACCACTTAGGGTTATCATATTTCGTTGAAATTTCACATGTGTAATGATACATGTATCTATGGGTTATGTCTAAATTTGCAGCACCGAACTATTAATCTTACCACTTTTACAGGTGTTATGATCGAGTAGGGTGTGACAGTGGGGCCAGTAGTATACCGAGCAGTGATTAGGTTTTTATATTTGAAAGGTCGCACACCAAAAGAAACTTTTGATGAAATGAAAGCAACTTATGGGGAAGATGCCCCATCATATGACGTTGTTAAACCCTGGCATGGCCAGTTCAAGTGTGGTCCGACATCTGTGGAAACAGCTGCCATTCCTGGTCGCCCCCATTCAGCCATTGATGAGGACACTATCCATCAAGTGGAGACCGCCATTTTGGCAGACCGACGTATAACTGTTCGCCAGTTATCAAAAGATGTCAAGATCAGTGTAGGGTCTGTGGAAAAAATCATCCATGACAATTTGAACATGCATAAGGTGTCTGCACGATGGATTCCCAGGTTGCTCACACCTTTCCAAAAGCAGGATCTTTTGGACATCTGCCAAAAAAAACAGGCAAACTTTTTTGACAGACTTATCACACAGGATGAAACATGGGTCCATCACTATGATCCTGAGACTAAAGTTCAGTCGATGCAATGGAAGCATGTGGAGTCAGTACCCCCAAAGAAGGCACGTGTCCAACCTATGAATCCTTCCACATCCTCCATACTCTCCTGACCTTGCACCTTCTGACTTCCACCTCTTTCCAACCATGAAGTCGTTTTGAAGGGAAAACGTTTCACAGATGATGAAACACTGATTTCTGAAGTCAAGTCCTGGTTTGAGACACACAATGAGGGCTTTTACAAGCGAGGTCTCCATAGTTGCATAAAACGATGGAAGAAGTGTGTAACTCTTGGTGGTTCCTATGTGGAGAAAGACTAATACCTATGCCAAGTTTCATGCCACTAGGTCCATCGGAAGTGGGTCAGGGGAAATCTTTAATGAACACCCCTCGTAGCTTAAATTATTTTTATCTTGTAAGGAAAATTGATGACACATCATTTTGATCTTTTCTTGTGGTAATGCAAGATTTTTACAGGTTAGGTGGTATCTTTAAATATGATGTCTAATTATCTAGGAAGATGAAGAATCTATCATTCTCTTTGTCAGTCCTAGAGCTCCACATAATGAATACTTGGAGGATGTAATGAGGACTTCGTGGCAGCAGTTTTAGAGTTTCTCCTTCACGTTTCATCTAAAGGGAACCAGATTAGCGACCTTGCTTTTTCATCGCCTTCTGTCTTTACAAGAAAGGAGAGCCATTTTCAAGGAGTATCGACATCAAGAATTGTATCCCAGTCTACACAGCAACATTTTGATTGATATTTGCTAAGCAGGAATGAATTCATTGTAAAACTGATGGTTATACATGCTTCAATGTTTTTTCGTGCTTCAGAGGGAAAACATAGGATCGCATTTTCCACTTCTCCTCAAAGAAACAGCTTTACATTGTAGAAAGAAAGTAAGGGCTGTATTCAAGAGGGGCTGTGATGGTGGTATTGGTATATTGGTAGTGTTAGGGAGAGATGTTTGTGACATGGGGCTGTGATGGTGGTACACTGGAGGGGTTATTGGAAGTGTTAGGGAGGAATGTTTGTGACATGGGGGTGCTGGAATATTGCTAAAAGCGGCGTAAAACCATACTCACTCACTCACTGTGATTGGGGTACACTGGAGTGGTTATTGGTAGTGTTAGGGAGAGATGTTTGTGACATGGGGCTGTGATGGGGGTACACTGGAGGGGTTATTGGTAGTGTTAGGGAGGGATTATTGGTAGTGTTAGGGAGGGATGTTTGTGACATGGGGCTGTGATGGGGGTACACTGGAGGGGTTATTGGTAGTGTTAGGGAGGGCTGTTTGTGACATGGGGCTGTGATGGGGGTACACTGGAGGGGTTATTGGTAGTGTTAGGGAGGGATGTTTGTGACATGGGGCTGTGATGGGGGTACACTGGAGGGGTTATTGGAAGTGTTAGGGAGGGATGTTTGTGACATGGGGCTGTGATGGGGGTACACTGGAGGGGTTATTGGAAGTGTTAGGGAGGGATGTTTGTGACATGGGGCTGTGATGGGGGTACACTGGAGGGGTTATTGGTAGTGTTAGGGAGGGATGTTTGTGACATGGGGCTGGGTGTTTCAGCATGGTCATCAGATGGACTTGTCATCCATGGACATCAGTATGTCATTGTGGGGACATTTTGTATGTATTATATAACTAAACTATGTTAAGGACCACCCGATTCTTTCACATTACCATTGTCAGTCTGTCAGGGCGTTGGAGTTTACACATGTAGGCTGTGTGAATGGTGTGGGAGGGGCTTGCTGCTGTGTGGTGTTTTGCAACAAATAAACACTTGATTTGGTCTGCAGATTGTGTGAGTGGCGGGGTACCTGTAGGGCAGGACATGCTTACTCTTTCCGCTAACACCTGGTGTCATCTCGGATTTTCAGTCATCCATTCATGATTTTCACCACTATTTCATCTTTACCCCCAATGGAATCTGTTTCTGCAGATAATCAAGGTTGATCCTTTTCTGGCATTTATGTTATATATACCGTAATCGACGTGATAAGCGCCCGGGGTGCTCTCAAAATTAGAAATATGGGGCTCTTATTAGAATATTATTTTGGTAAAAGAAAAATTGAAAGTTGAAAGATAAATTTTGTGGTTTATGCTGACAGCCTGAAAGTTTATAAACGACAGATATATTTTTCCAAAATTTAATTGCCTATAACTAACAGTGCATATAACATACGAGTGAGTATTATACGCGAATAAATAAGTCTTTTATACATTAATCAATCGGAAGGGGTGCTAATTGGGATTGTTCGCTAGCCAGTATATTAGCAAATATCGCCCTGGGTGCTTATTAGAGAGGGGCGCTGATTACGTCAAATACGGTACTTGAAATAGGTTCATGTTTCTGCAGGTGAACTAAAGTCCCCGAGTCTCACAATTAGCTCAGTTAGTGTTTACCATGCTGAGCCAACTGCAATAGAAATGTTTGGGCCAAGACATAAAAATGGCCTAGTCTGGCCCAGCCTTGACCCCACCCCCGTGTGTTGCAAAAAACATGGTACTTCAGTGTTTGTTTTTAGTGAATTTCTGAAGTCATGAATAATGGCATAGGGTAGTTTTCACAACGATAAAGCACTGTGACGTCAAATGGCTTCAATTTTACCTATGGGCATTGGGAATCGCTAAATTGTGCAAATATCGGGGAGTTTTTATACACGGTCATTCTACATTTATTGGTAATATATAACTTGTATTTCAGGTACCCTGTGATATTATCAATAGAAAACCACTGCAGTATCAAACAACAGCAGGCCATTGCCCACTACATGACCACCATACTTGGGGACAAGTTGTACACAGAATCTGCCGACGAAAATGTCGAACACTTACCTTCTCCAGAATTCTTCAAAGGCAGAGTCCTTATCAAAGTAAGTGTCTTTATTATCACTTGGTGGATGAAGATGAATGTGTCGGTGGATTTCCTTGAAATATGTCTTGGAAAAATATACTATTATCCTTTATGTTATGTGTTGTAAAAAAATACTCTTGGGAAAAAAGCTGTCAATGTTTGATGTGTCTAATATCCATATATGTTGTACAACAAACTCTGGAAAAAAACAATTGAAAGTAACAAAGAGAATTGTTTTTTTATAAATCTGATATGCCCACAGTATGAAGTGGTATACATAGTAGTGTATACAGCGGGCGTAAGGGTCTGTTGACGTTTGAGGGTAAAAGAGTACCTATATGCAGCAATACACTTGACCTTTAGGTATACAATATCGAGGATTTTCTTAAGAAAGAGATGCAATTTTAGGATATCCACTGTCTATCTGCTTTGGTGTGGGAAAACAATGCCTTGCCTTTAACAGTACTAGCTTCAGTCGCATCAGCTTCCACTATAGGGCCTTACACTACAAGGTCTTTCACTACAGGGCCTTTCATTACAGGGCCTTTCATTACAGGGCCTTTCACTATTGGACCTTCCACTACAGGGTCTTTCATTACAGGGCCTTTCACTATTGGGCCTTTCATTACAGGGCCTCTCATTACAGGGCCTTTCACTATTGGGCCTTCCATTACAGGGTTTTTTCATTACAGGGCCTTTCGTTACAGGGCCTTACACTACAGGGCCTTTCACGACAGGGCCTTTCATTACAGGGTCTTTCACTACAGGGCCTTTCACTACAAGGCCTTTCATTACAGGGTCTTTCACTATTGGGCCTTCCATTACAGGTTTTTTTCATTACAGGGCCTTTCATTACAGGGCCTTTCACTACAAGGTCTCTCATTACTTGGCATTACACTACAGTGCCTTTCATTACGTGACCTTTCACTATTGGGCCTTCCACAAAAGGGCCTGACACTACAGGGCCTTACACTATAGGGAGGGCCTCACCCTATCGGGCCTTTCATCTCTAGGTGGAAACTATGGATAGGTCTGTCATTAACTTCCACCATAAGTGCCGTACACTAAATGGCCTTACACTGTTGGGCCTTCCACTATAGGGTTTTCCACATACAGGACCTTACACTAGAGGGCCTTATGCTATAGGGCCTTACACATACCATATCTAGGTCTTTTGTCAGATATTTCTAATGTAACAAATTCCCATGTACAATGTTGACATCAATTACCCTCTATTTAAGTTTGTTTTATTGAGAAATTGAAATTTTAGTGTTCATCAACATGTTTTTTTTATTTTTGACACTTCCAGAACTACTGAATAGATGATTGAGCTGGTACTTGATGCAGGTGTTACGCACCAGAAAAGGGTGTAGTTTGTTTAAACATTTAAATTAAATGCCAAGTGGTTTTAGTCTTCATGGATGAAATAACTAACATACAATATTCCTTATTTGATTGGTCAACAATAAGCTTTGCATAACAAATTAAAAAGCTGACTTAAAAAAGGTACGATTGAACTCAACTTTGAGATGTTCATACTTTCAAAATTGTGTAAGAAAATGTACAACTTTATGGATAACGACTTCTGACTTATTGCATACAGTAACTTTTCAATGTAGATTCTTACACTGTCATCAAACTGGAGTGACAACCAGCAAAAATTCCTTTGCCATCCAATTCTGTTTTGACAAACTCCAAATCCTCTCAACCAAATATCAGGACTAAACCAAAAGAAAAGCTATAAATCTGCCGTCACAAACCTCTGATCAACAGAGATCAAGGGTATTACATTTCTTCTGTCCATGAAGATCTTATCAAGCAGTAGACTATTTTAATAACAGAACTCCAGATAAGCTGCGTAACTGCGTAAAATACGCATCAGAAATGCAGAAATATGCAGTAAAATAAAATCCAAGCGTATCAAATACGCAACGAACATTACAGATACGCTACAAAAATAAAACTTGTGCGTATCATCAAAATATTGTGAAGTAACCCTGCATATTCAATTAGCAAATCAGCAACTTATTTTGAAATTATAAACGGGCATTTCTTCAACCTTGCCAAACTCCACGATGACAGTTACATCATGATCATTTGCCATCACACTTTCTTGTGGAAGTATCGTGGTATCGTCCTATAAAGCTCTCGAAGCCCACACGACACCGCTTTGCAGGGACTAGATGAATAGTGTTTTTAAATATTTAACTTAAATACCCACATGTGTACAAACTAGTGGGTAACAGAAATTTGAATACCCAAATAGAATTACTGATACCCAATGATTTTAAAATGCGTGGGTAAAATACCCACAACACCAAAAGCTTATCTGGAGCTCTGTAATAAGGACCAAATCAGCGTGTCACAAATGTTTAATCCTTTTAATCCTTATCTTTGCTGTACATCTGGCTTCATTACCTGTGTGCTATTTGTTATTCTTACTGTACATCTGGCTTCGTCCAATTATCTGTATTACCGTATCTATTACCGTTGTTGTCAATGTTAATCTGCTGCTTATCACAACATATCATGTATCTATACCTCTCATCACTTGGTTGTTGTCACTCCAGCTTGATAACTATGCAAGAATCTACATGGAAACGTCACTCTATGCAATAAACCTGAAGTTGTTATCCATAAAGTTGTATGTTTTCTTACTTACCCACCAATTTCTAGAATGCCAATCAAACAATTAGTTTCAAATTCGGTAAGAATTAGGCTTGGAAACATTTTCCTGCTGCCCGAGTGTAGATGCATAGGTGTTAGGTGTGTCACGATACAGGAACATCACGATACGATACTTATCTCGATTTTGAGGTCAAGATACGATACGTATATCGATACAGCAATACCAACATTTTAAGCATAAATTTAGAAGCAAACTTTTTAATTACATAACACATTCACAATTATGTGTTCTAACCACTATCAGAATATTTTGTAAAATAATAATACTTAGAAAAGGGTGATTCTGTTTATTCAAACAAGTGTCAGACACTAACAAGTTTTCGTATGTGTCAAATTCAGAAAATATGACATTTCGATTCGAATAGAAAAATCAATTGATACCCGAACAAATGAATACCGATTTCAATAAAATTTTGTATCGATATAAATTTACATGTATCTTGTATCGTAGCGTGAGAATTATCTACGGATGCATCGGTACAATCGGTGAATCATGACATCCCTAATAGATGTTCATGAAGTATTACTTCAAGTGAGCCATGTGAGGTGGTTTGTCTCCCAGACCATTGAGAATACATGGAGTCAAACTGAAGTTTAGAATTCTTGAACAATTCTAGATTGGCTCAGCTCTGACATTAAGCATTGTTTCTTGGCTCTATTTGGATTTCATTGTTATATTTTGTACATATGTAGTTTTGAATAACATAGCTATATGACTAAATGTCAGTCTATATGTTAGGACGTCAGAACAGTTTAGCAGATTAGGATACCAGAACCCTATGCTTGTCATTAGAGCAAGCTAAATGAAGAATGGGCGAGCCGACAGCATGGTCTTGCTGATGCCGTCATCCACAGAGTTACAAGGCCCACATGTTAATAATTCTTACGAATACAAAACCTCTATTACATTATTGCCAGAAATCCTGTATTTCAGCTGTCATCACACTATAAAATCTTAAGATTCGACAGAAGTCCTTTTCACTGCAAACTATACATGATCAGTTGTGCAAGTGTAGTATCTTGCTACCCACATCTCATATCCATGCAGTTTCTCTGTGTGCTAGTGTCAACAACAAAAACATTATCTGAGTTTTGTCATTGCAGAGCAGTTTGATAGTGGTCACACTGTTATTGTAATCACTATAAACACAGACCAAGTAAATGTTGCTACTTATTATAATCCTGCGATCCAACTGAAGACTTCTTTTTTAACAGCATCCATGACATTCTCACCCTAATGTCAGCATACAGGCTAGTGGTTTTTATTGCTGTGGTTTGCTACGCACAGAGTAAACTTGATTTAGCTGCCACTGTTCAAAGTGACATGCGATCACAATCAGTCGGAATCCCCACATTGTGTCATTCATCACATGCCGTACAGATATTTCTCGATGTAATACAAGTCTGTAACAGAGGGTTTGAGTATCATCTCATCTATGAGAACATCAGGATCAATATTGCGTGTCAAAAATTACATTACGACAAAAGTCAATTTGTTAGTTGTATGTTTTATATGTGGATGATAATTACATGCTTGTCATCTAGGAGAAATTGGCACATTTATTTTACCATCTATTTTAGGCAAGTGCATTTTCGTCTTATCAGTAGTGAGTGATCAGGTTGTACCTCCATGTCTTACACATGAATGTTGGATCAGTGTTGGAGGATAAGTGATAGACACTTCAAACTTGTTAAGAAAATTTATTCATTTCTTTGAATGTTGATCAAACATAGTGAGTGTACTTTTCTCATCAGCCTCTATATTTCGGCCCCTAAAATTGAATTTGAGGGAGATGAAATGTGTTCATGTCATGTTAAGATGTCAAGTAAATGTGTAATTTTAAACTTCAAAGAATTTTTGTTTCCGTTTTGGGAGATCCTGGTCTTAATTTTTAGACACTATGAGAACACTTGTACAGTCTGAGCAGACTAAAAATCCCTGAACTTATTTAACCATGATGTTTCAAACAAGTTTGTGTAAGAAAGGGGCTTCTTGTGAGTTCTGGATATGTCTCCATGTTCTTTGCACATCTGCCTACTGTCCTGAATGTTTCGTATTTGTTACGAATTTGAAACTAAAATATGAAAATATGAATTCTTCCTTAATTCATAGAAAAAATATGCAAATCTACGAAAGGACAAAGGACGAAAGGACTAAATTTTTATAGACACTGGTAAAGAGCGGGTCATTATTTAGCCGTACACCATCTGATGTGAACACGAGCGCGTCTTATTTGTCAACTGGTGTGAAGTCTATTTATGGTGTTGCATCTGTCTAATCGAGACACTGCACATGTATTATCACAAGTTGCTGTAGTTGAAATAGAAACTAATCAATAAAGTTATCAATAGTGTCAGGCTTTGGTGTCCCGACCAGAAGATCGTAACAAAATACTAATTGTAAATTGGGAAAGTTCGCAGCTATGTCTTTGGAATTGAGCTAGGAATATCTGTAACAATGCTGATGCAGCATTAAGCAATATTCACTAACTCACTCACTCACTCTGTTGGTCGAATAATCTGTTCCATTCAGATTCAACATAAGTGAGTCCGAATTATTTTTTTATTTTGATGCCATGCTGATGGATTTCTCCAGGTAAAAAAAGGTCAATGACCAGATTCACTGTGTGCTTTCTTATTATAAATATCTGGCGTGGCGTGTAATAACAAAGATCTGTTCAATAAGGCGCTAAACCCATCTCATAACCTGAACACCCCCTTCATCAGATCCTGTTTTGCCTGCCCCAAAACTGACAACTCACAATACAGTAGCTAGACATGATAGTACTGAGACTGTGTCATAAACGTTTGTACATTGGCCAAGAACTGATATGTGTCTGACTTTCTTGGTCAAGGCACTGTGATTATAGGACTGTATGTGCCGGTCAAGGTGTATATTAGTGCTTATAGCCTGGTCAGGGGGTCAATACAACACCAGCGCCAACATTTGGGTGGGTTGTACATATCTTGATACCTGCAACTGAAGGATTTGGTTCAACATGAACAGATTGAAATTTCTTGTGGTTTTGCACAATAAGGTTAACTCTACATTCTGACCACACTATACTTAATTGTCAACATGCGAGGACATGGATGGCCCTCTCATCTAATGCACCAAACTTCGAAACCTATGATCATGTGTTCGAATCCTGGTTCGTCCCAATTATGTTTCTAGGTTTGTCAGCACCATACCCGTGCTCGTGGGTTACACCAAAGTGGTAAACGACCTGCATTACTTCAGGCTTTCCTCCCACATTAAGCTGACACATAACTTGAATACTGTTCAAAGCGGAATCAAACCAAACTCACTCACTCACTCACTATCGCCATGAATGATTAAAAGGCTTGGAAATGATATAAAGTAACTATTATACACAGAATGTAATTGAAATATGATTGAGTTTGAACTATTGTAGTATTTGACCTACTATGGCATCACTGTGTTGTCCCTGTTATTCCCAAATGAATCTATTGCTGGGGGAAATCAAGACTGTTTATTCTCTGACATAACATTTGTATTCTATGCTGTGTGTGCATTGACCTCCATGACCAGCCTGGCTTGACATAGTCCCCCATCTGGACACCCTTTAGTGGATTAACCTCACCTTGCTGGTGTCAGTAGATCTAGTTGCCTTGTTCACATGCTTAACTCATGCATATTGCAGGGTAAAAAACTGCCAATCGCAACCAGCTCAGTCGAGGGCTATGTCACTGATGAGGACGAGGGGGCAGAACCTGACAAGAAGAAAAATAGTAAACGGGTAAGGTCAAGGTTAAAGATCGGTGTCAAGGTCACAGGTTTAATCCTAGGTCAATTCTGAAGATAAAAGGCATCAAAAGACTAGTCTGTGATAAGTCTAGTAAAATTAGTTCAGTCCAGTAGGATCAGCTAATAAAACTATAATATATGATAACTCTAAAATGTTCTGAAAATGAGCCAAGTTTGGGCTGATGGACTAGACAGTTTTGAGCAAAGTCCGATGTTATGAGAAAAATGGTTTAATGCCAGTTAGATTTTACTAAAAGGTTTGGACTTGATTTCTTTCCATGAAAAGTGATAATGATCATTGTGATAAATCTGGTTTGAATCTAAATTATGATGCTTTATGTCATTGACGTTACAATGGAATTAATTGTGTAATGTAACATCATTAAGTTGCACAACTTTTTTAAGGAATTCTGGATACAACGGTTTGTAAGATACTTCTTTCAGTTAATAAGTAAACAGAGCATGTGGAGACGAGACTATTAGAAAAGTTAATTATGGTGTTTTTGATCCCCTAGTCTACTCCTTGGATTTAGTATTTAACAAAAACCAAAATATTCAAAATGACTAAACAAAATCAAATAGGCATTCCGGGCATTGTTCACGTAAGTACTTCACAGTAATCACTTGCAGAACTGGCTGAAGTTAAATGGTTTTTGCCTAGCTTTGTATACTGTGTGATTTCAGTCAGTGAAACATGCAGAGGGACCTGCCTACTGCCAAGTTGCATGCTTCTTATGCTATCTCATGGAGACCCCAAGGAAAAGGAACTGCACTGCTTCTGCCAAATTATGCAACCAATTGGCTGTAAACTGCCATGGCTATCTGTTGTGCATGCATTTGTTTACCCTGATGGCCTTCAGCACATGGCCTGTTGGTAGAGAAATGCATCTGTTCATGGCTATTTCCATTTTCAGAACTATTTTGTGGTCTAGTTTTCTATGTCATGTGTGTGGTTGGTATGGATGTTGTCCTGGGTGTGTCTTGGATGCTACTGGATGCTGGTGTTTCAGGAGGGGTCGGTCAAGAAGCACAAGCTGGTCAAAGAATTGTCCGACATGGTTGTCTACTGTGTGTCCAAGAGATTTGAAGACTTTCAGGTTTCCCAGCAGAACCGTGAGTCCTGAATAAAAAAGATTATACCCTTTCCATATTTAGAAGAAATCTCTTCTAAGAGTCGATTGTTCGATTCCGATTATATCATTATCAGATAGTGTCAGGTGTTCTTGAAAACGTATTCTGTCCCATCAGTAGCACACATCACAAACACATGCAAGATCAAGTCAATTGCTCAAATGCCTCATGGGGATTCCAGGGTAGAATTGGCCCCCAGTTACCTATGCTGGTCGTAAGAGGCAGCCAATGCATCAGGTGACCAATCTTGGTGATTTGATTGTTTGTGTATTATCATACCTTGATTGTGTGGATTGTTGCTCACAATATCAATCACTGGTTCAGACTTGATTATTTGCAGGCTGCCATCATATAGCTGGAATACTGCATTAAAACATTAAACAAAAAACAAGAGACCATGGATACCTGTTCTACTAACACAAGAAGAAACAGCCATATTAAACTTAGTTCACTCATCTACCTCAAAGTCCCTGAACCATTTTATTTTCCCTTCCTCACAACCCTTACTGTAATGCTACGACCATACATGAAGCAAGTCTAGATTTCCCACAGGTTCTGAATTTCCCATCTCACTGGCCCAGGCCCCTTTAATTTAAACAGAGTTATCTGTTTCTTTCAAAATTATATATTTTCAGTAACTAAGCAAAAGTCTAATAATTCCCTTGCTAGGACATATATGCCATTAAGACTCCATGCCCTTCTTCCTGTGTAAACTGTAAAGTCCTCTGAACATATCACAGTAGTCATCAGGGCCCCGTTCCACAAAGCGATCATAGCGCTAAGAGACCCGTGAAGATCTTCAAAGGTCTTCAACAACCCATGCTTGCTGTAAATGGTGACTATGCTTGTCGTAAGAGGCGATTAAAGGGATTGGGTTGTCAGGCTCACTGACTTGGTTGATACATGTCATTGTATCCCAATTGCATAGATCGATACTTATGATATCAGTCACTGGATTGTGTGGTCCAGACTCGATAATTTACAGAATTTTATAATTTTAGATAGAACATATAGCTGGATTATTGCTGAGTACGGTGTTAAACAACAAACAAACAAACAAACAAACAAACGTAGCTAAAACGATCGTAACTCCCATACTTTAACATGGACTTTGTGGAATCGCTTTGTGGAATGGGACCCAGGTCATGAAAATGTACACAATCTGATACATTAAGACATTAATGTTCAGATATAAAATGATTTTCTTTGTAGTCAGGGCTGCTTATTGCACAAACATTGAAGCAGTTGTTTCCCCTAAACATGTAATTTATATTTATATTTCTAAATTCCTATCAAAGACGTGATACATGAAATCCTGACAATTGTGTTTAAGGAAGGTATTCCATTACAAATGGAATCTATGGTTTTGTATTGATATAATCACTCATGATACGAAAATCTTATCATTGCGATAATTGACCTGTGAAATGCGGGTTAGAAGGGATCTTCAGCAAGCCATGCTTGTCGTAAGAGGTGATTAACAGGATTGGGTGGTCAGACTCAATGACTTGGTTGATGCATTTCATCGTATCCCAATTGCGTAGAGCGATGCTCAGGATGTCAATCACTAGATTGTCTAAAATAGACCAATTCTCAATCATATTACTGCTTTGAACAACTTGATTCTTTGGAAATGTCTTCATATAGGGTTGTTTGCTTTTCAGAAAAGTGTTGGGAGATTTGCTCGTACAGTGAGTCCCAGGCTCTGAAGTTGGCGATGTCCTCGCCAGAGGAATATGTCAACCACAACAAGCGATTCCTGTCTCGCATCTACCCCAATGGTATGCGCATCGACTCCAGCAACTACAACCCCCAGGATCTCTGGAACTGTGGCTGTCAGATGGGTGAGGACCCATACACAGAAGCTTTGCATGTGTAGATGTGTCATGTGTAGTTTAGGGGTAAAGACAGGCAAGTTGCTGGGACAACCTGCAACTGTTACTTTTTGTCCAAATGTGTACTGTCCACCGTTAATCTTCAGAACAAACAAATAATCAAGTTCCTTAAGTAGCACATCTTTGTATGAAAAGATGTGTTTCATTCAAGCAGTATGTGCAGCTGTTGTATGAAGATTATTGGTTGGCATACATTATCAGGATATAATGGCAGTACGTGTGACTCACTTGCCTTAGCTGTTCTCTAACACAGAGATACAGTACAGTACTCTGTTTGCCTCCATTTTGTTTGGTGGCCATGATTTATTTTAAGATTTACAAGTGGCTTCTTCTTGCTAAGAACTTTGATAACTACAGTTATTGAGGTGTCGATTTGATAATAATGTCACTTTTCTTTTACACTTTTGAAATTAACTATTAAATGATTATTATCGTTTCATTTTGAATTTGTTTACATGTGAAATTGTGGAGGCTCCAAGGAAAATAGAATTAAGGGCAATATGGCACCAAGGGACAAAATTGAACTTGATTCCCCAATAAAATCTGATGTAACTTTTGATGACACAGGTGTTTAATGGTAAATTAACACATCTTCACTGTACCAGGACCCACTTGCACAAAGCGATCTTAGCGCTAAGATGATCATAACTCCCATACTTTAACATGGGCTCACAAGATTGCTTTGTGTTAGTGTGTCCTGGAGGTTACACACATGCACGTCACCATGTAGGTGCAGTTACCTTGAAGGTGATGTAACGCCAGTTCCACCTCCCCTCTTCCTACACCACCTGAGAGTGTCAGTGTTTGGAATTGTAACATGTGTCATGTCCTCCACCTGATGTCTTCCTCCTCAGTGGCCCTGAACTACCAGACAGCAGGACTCATGATGGACCTCTACAATGGCTGGTTCCACAAGAATGGAGGCTGTGGCTTTGTGTTGAAACCTGCCATCATGAGGGAGGAGATCTCATACTTCAGTGCAAACACCAGGGAGGTCATTCCAGGGGTGTCCCCCCAAATACTTCATATAAAGGTGAATAGGATGTCTCCCCCAAATACTTCATAGAAAGGTGAATAGGATATTCTCCTCCTCCCCCCGTACTTCATATAAAGGTTAATAGGATGTCCCCCTCCCAAAAAATACTTTATACAACGGTGAATAGGATGTCTCTCCCCCCCAATACTTCATATAAAGGTGTCTATAGTGCCCCCCCCCAATACTTCATATAAAGGTGTCTATAATGTCCCCCCACCAAATACTTTATGTCCCCCCAAATACTTCATATAAAGGTGAATAGAATGCCCCCCCCCCCCCCCCCCCAATACTTCATTTAAAGGTGTCTATAATGTTTCCCCCCCAAAACACACTTGATATAAAGGCGGAAAGGATTCTCCCCCCCAAAATACTTCATATAAAGGTGAAAAGGGTGTTCCCCACATGGTTAAATTGTGTGAAGCCCATTGTTGGTTTCCCCCGTCGTTCCATTGCTTGAATATTGCTAAAAGCAGCATAAAACAACACTCACTCATATAAAGGAGAATGTCAAGTTATTTCGAAAGTATTCTGTCAAAGTTCTTTAGCACATTATCATAATTGGTATACAGGTACATAGACATGAAGTACGTGATTTGTATTTGTTGCAGATTATCAGTGGCCAGAACTTCCCCAAGCCCAAGGGTTCCGCAGCTAAAGGGGAGGTGACAGACCCCTATGTCACCATTGAAGTGTTCGGCATTCCCTCGGACTGTGCCGAGGAGAGGACCAAAACTATGCCGCATAATGGCAAGTGTGAACTCTGTGTCTGTACTGCTGGTGCCATGGCATGCAGTGTATGGCCGTCTAGTATTTTCACCCACCTGCCTTACTACCAAACATCCTGCTCACATCAATTTATTTCACCCCAAGCACTGACAGACGAAGAAAATCACAATGTGGTTTCATTTACTCGGTGAAATACATCATATAAAAAATCCTATCTAACCTTCATACTTGGTGTGAGTCACACCCATCGACAGGTTATGTACACAGATATCCTGAACACTAGTTCTTGGTTTGAAAAAAATAATAGCAAATATTTATGATGAACATTTTTTTAAAATTTGGATGAAATTCTAATGATTAAGTTATTGTGCCAGTCTTTCACCGTTATTCCAGGTGATTACTAAGACTGAAGGTCTATGATCAAAATTAAATATATTTTCAACAGTGAGTGAACAGTTGTTTTTTTTGTCAGCAGTATGAGTGCCAAGTTGCAACAGATAAGGTCAGTTTGGGACACAATAGATACATGCTGAAAACCTAACTGCAATGAATAGGAATGACTGTTTACAAGCTAGTGTACAGTCTCACTTCCTCTACACTGAATAATGATTGAATTGATGTAGATGAATAATACAATGACTGATCAATTCCTCCTTTGTTCAGGTATTTTGATCTTTTGTTTACATTTTCAATATTCTAGTAGGTTTTGATTTCAATACACCTGTTGCTGTACATGGGTTGTGAGAGCAGACGTCACAGTATGCTGCTGTCCGCAGTGAATATTCACTGCAGAATAGTTATCGTTGGAATAAATAATTAAAACTCATGTCAATCTTGTCAAAGTTGAAAGGTAACATTAAATTGTTTTCAACCTCAAAATATAAGGGTTTTTTGTTTGTTTGCAGGATACAATCCAATCTTTGATGAAAGCTTCGAGTTCCAGATCAACTTGCCAGAGCTGGCTCTGGTGAGATTCACTGTTCTGGATGACGACTATATTGGGGATGAATTTATTGGACAGTTCACAATACCATTTGAGTGCATGCAAACAGGTAAAGATGTTATGTTGAAACATTGATTTTGTAGGGATTTATGATGTGCTACAGTAACATGGTGAAAAAATTATTTGAGAGATTATTGTGTAGTTCTTTTTGTTTTGATGATGATGTTATGACTGTAGTATTGCAATAAATAAAGAGACAGGTTAGAGACATGTACAATTATGGCTAAAAGATGCTCAGTTAACTTCCAACAAAGTGATTTTCATTCTCAATCTAAGGGGAACAACTCTTTCCAAGTTGTTCTGGATCACAGCTTGGTGCAAGCTTTCCTGTATGGTCATAAGTTCTAGTTTTGCACATATATTGCAACTTTCTGTTACAATATTTAAAGTTTCAATTAAAGTTATGATTATCAGTTTCTTATTTATGATTATCATCCATCCACTTTTGCAGGTTACCGACACATCCAGCTATTGTCAAACACCGGGAACCCCATTGAAAACTGTACATTGTTTGTACATATAGCAATAACCAACAAGAGAGGGGGTGGGGTGAGTCTGTTTGTTGTAGTATACTGGCGGTTTTCAAATTTACCCAAATGCAAATCTTGCTCATAATGTCTCAGTATGATTAGTGCTGCTACTTGTGTGTCCTCAGACCACCTCTGTGGTCTAGTGGATAGAGTGTTTGCCCAGAGGGGGGAAGATTGAGGGTTCGATCCCCAAGTGCTTCTTACCAAAAGACGTTAAAAGATGGTATTTGTTGTTGTGTTCAGCAAGGAGAGTATGTTCAGTCAGTATACTGTGCTTGAGTAATCTTGAACACAATGTTAAAGTGCATTACACTGCTCTTGTGTGTCCTCCTACCTTTGGTTTGGTTGGGTTTGGTTGGTTTGGTTGGGTGCCATGTTCAGATCTGATGATTTGTCGGCTTCAGAGATGGAAGTCCAAGATGCTGTAAAAGGAAAACCTAGCTCCAGTCATGTCAGATTGCTCCTCTCTACCAACAGATATTTTACTTGTTCTGAAGCTACTCCTTAAAGTTGATGAGTTAGTTTGATCTAGTGTTACTGTGTTGTTCAACTGACAATACCCAATGGGCTCCAGATCAGTATATGACCGCCTCCGGGAAGGTCCGGGGTTCAAAACCTGGCCGCATCGTACCAAAAGATGTTTAAAGATGGTATTTACCTTGCCTTGTGCTCGGCATTAAGGGGCTAAAAGAAGGACTGGTCGGCTCTGAGTCAGTATACTGTATCTGAGTATGATATTCATGTTAAACTGCAGCATGGTATCTCAGTAGGATAGAACTATGAAATTGGCATCAGTCCCCGGACTAGTTCATGCAGCCACACACACATAAAACACAAACACATGTCGCTATATAAGTGCCATAACATTGGACGCGATGTTAAACCCCACTACACCTCATCTCACCTCACCAGATCAGAATAACAGTTGACCACAAAGAGGATTGGGTGGTCACAATGTCTGACCTGGCAGATTTGGTCCATTTTTACGCTGTGAATCTTTGCTCATGCTATCAGTGACAGGTTTGCGGCACCTGATTATCTACTGCTATCTATGGCTGAATATTGCTGACACTCGTGAAGTTCCGGGGTCTTCAGCAACCCATGCTTGCCGTAAAAGGCAACTATGCTTGTCATAAGAGGCGACCAACGGGATCAGGTGGTCAGGCTTGCTGACTTGGTTGGTGCATGTCATCGTATTCCAATGATGTGGATCGGTGCTCATGATGTCAATCACTGGATTGTCTGGTCCAGTCTTGATTATTTACAGACCACCATGATATAGCTGCAAACAAACAAACACAAGAATATTGCCAAATGCCATAGGGAAACCATTTGGTGTACTCGGCTGATATTTTGGGATGTAAAACCCAACTCACTCACTCATTTACACACTCACTCACTTACTCATTACAGCATAAAACAACAGTCACTCACGTATCTACAAACAGGATCAGGTGGTCAGACTCACAACTTGGTTGATGCATGTAATCATATCGCAACTGCCTAGATGTATGCTCATGATGTCAGTCACTGGATTGTGTGGCCCAGATTATTTACTGAGTGCCATTCTATAGCAGAAATTTTGACGAGAGCAGTGATAAAAAAAAAAAAATAAACACTCACACATCTGACAGAACTTTGACTGTGTAGAGACTTGTGAGTACTAACTGGTTCTTGTCCCCAGCAGGCGTACAAACGAGGCTTGTCTGTGAAGAAAACGAAGAGGTATCGGGACTACACCAGCATGAAGTCAATCGGAGTGAAAAATATAGATGAAACATTCAAGGTAGGTTGTTGAACATGATGATATATTGTGAAGGGTTATCAAGGTGGGATGGACAACATGTCATGAACTGCCCCATGATGGTGTGCTTGGCTCACTTACTCCCACCCGCGTGAGGGGCCAGGTTACAATCTGTCGTCAGCAACCCATGCTTGTCGTCAGCAACCCATGCTTGTCGTAAGAGGCCAGCAATGGAATCGGGTGGTCAGGTTCGCTGACTTGGTTGATGCATGTCATTTTATCCCAATTGTGTAGATTGATGCTCTTGATGTCACTGGATTGTATAGTCCAGGCTCGATATATTTGCACACTGCCATCTTATAGTTGGAATATTGCTTAGTGCAGCGTAGACAACAAACAAACTTAATATCCACCAAGTCTGTCTTTAGGGAACAATAAAAAAAATCATAGGTATCACAATCCATATTTTGAACTTGAGAAAAGTTTGTTGTCTTCTCGTGGCATTTAGAAGCTGTTGACTTATGACTTGCAACTTCTTTCTTCTATCAATGCAACATTTTGGTACAGATGCTTGTACCCTATATCAATAGTAATCAACAACTGGGTGTGACTTGGTGATAGATCTGAGATTACATAGACACAACATGAAAAACAGAAACAGGGTAACTAAGAACACTGAATGAAGGCAGTATATTTTAAGAGTTTTTAAATCAGTAAGTATTTATTTATAAATGCACTCAAGGCAATGATTTATTAACAGATGAAGTTCACCTTCCTAGTAATTGTTCTCTTGAACTCCTAAGAGATTATAAGTGTATTACTATGCCAAGTGCCAGTAAAATCTATCTGAATGTACTGTAACAAACTGTAGGAAGTGTCTGTAAAATATCTGAACTTTTTACTGTGACATACACATATCAGCTATTTTTTGTTGATCTCAGTACCGTCACGATTTTGTAATTGTCAAATAAATATTTCCAGATATTACATTACAATACTCAGTCAAGTAACACACAAAGTGGAGCATCAGTGAACCGCTTTGTCCTAATGACTGCAACACATTGACTGTCTACCAAACAAACATTGTTTATCTCTCCAGGTTGCAATCCAGCCTTTGCGGGATGGCACCGACCTGCGAGACAACGTGCAACTGGCCCTGAGTGGCTTCAAGGAGACGTGTGGTCTGCCTCCCATCGCCAACATCAAGCAGTGCATCCGACTCCTGTCCACCAGAATCACCAACTCAGGAGAACAGAGTCTGACATACGTCATGAGAGGCGAGGTGAGTCTGACATACGTCATGAGAGGCGAGGTGAGTCTGACATACGTCATGAGAGGCGAGGTGAGTCTGACATACGTCATGAGAGGCGAGGTGAGTCTGACATACGTCATGAGAGGCGAGGTGAGTCTGACATACGTCATGAGAGTGAAGATGAGATCCAGATCACTAATACCTTCTCAGTGTGTTGGTGAAGGAGTACCGAGTCTCTGGGTAATGACAGGATCAAATGAACATCATTGTATTTGACTCCTTCTTTTTCTTTCATAAATATTTGAGTCTTACCAATATGTTCTATTAGATCACTATTTTGTATGACATCATGATTTGGAGAAACTAATATTTAAATTTCTCGGCTTGAGAGTTTTAGTATTAGATAAAACATATTGTTTTACCTTCTTTGCAGTACCCATCTCTTGAAGCACAAGGGAACCTGCCAGATATACTGAAGAAAGCTCTGATGTCATTTGATGATGTGAGTAGTAACAGCTGGAGATGAACCAATAGCTCACCTGGCAAATACATATATGCATACACCTCACCTGGTGAAACTGAGATTGTGCTAAAAGTTCAGAGGTTTTGTTTTTAAAAAATCAAAGAAATTGTTGTTGAAGTCATAAATCATGAAATAATGAAATCATTAACAAACAATTAATAGATATTTCTTTGTGTTTCAGTTGATCACAGAGTGCAGAAACCTTATAGAATGTGCAGATAGTGTTTATGAGAAGGTGAGCTACTGAACATAACTTATTTACTGACCAGCCTGAGATATGTTGGTCTCACCATACTTTAACTTGACTTGGGATTTAGCTGACCTTGGCTTAGTGATGGTTAGGGTCCTGTGAAAGAGAGGCTGTTCAAAGGTTTGTGAAAATGCTGGCAAAATACATTGAATTGCTGCTTGACCAGCAGTTAAGCAGATGTCTGTTTCTAGTTAGGACCTTGAAAGATTCTAAAAAGATAAACCCCATGGGGCCCGGGCGTACAATGTTCCCAGCAACCTGTGCTGATTGTAAGAGGCGACTGGAAGATCGGGTCGTCAGGCTTGGTGACTTGGTTGATAGTGTCAGCATAGCCCGACGGTGTGGATTGCTGCTCATAATATCGTTCCCTGGATTGTCTGGTCAGACTTGGATTATTTACAGGCCACCGTCAAGTAGCTGGAATATTGCTGAGTGTGGCGATACACAACAAGCCAAACAAACAAACCTAAAAGAGAGATAGAAGTGGTGCTGAGTACCTGTAGTATGAGCTGACTAAAGTGGATTGGGTGGTTCGGACTGATTGTGTGTCACATACCCCAGCAGTGTTGGTCGTTGCTCATGGTATCAACACCTGGTTTGTCTTTGGAAACTCTGTACTTTTCAGAGCTGACATGTCGTGGTATAACTAGAATACTGTTCAAAGCGGCAGTAAAACCCAATTCACTCACTCACTCTGCCACCTACTTCAGACTGTCCTAGAACATGCCCTAGGGAGCATGAAGTGCCTGCCTCTAAGATGAAGCTGGCGTTGTTGTTGTAGTTGCTGCACTGTCAGAGAGCTGGGATGGAGTGGCACGAGGACCTGGAGAATGTGTGTGTACAAGCGGGCCTCAAGAGCAAGAAGCTAACCAAGGTTAGTCCATCTGTGTGCTAGTTTTCTGTCTGTAACGGCAAGGGTTGCCTCTCTTTGTTGTTGCAATTTGCTGAACAGAGTTGCATCCCTTGGGCATGCCAGAATCTGATGATTATGGGTTTGAATCCCAGGTTCACCCTGATTATGAATCTTGGTTTGTCAGCACATATCTGTTTGCGTGGGTTTCACTAAGGGTTGGATCTGATACCTTCCAGTTTTCTTCCTGACTCACATTCATATAACTTGTAGAGCTCTCAAATTCACAGGGAGGATTGCAAATCATAACATACCTCTATACCTTCTGTGACGGATGCCTTTATCTAAAGTAATGAACTTAAATTTCATGTAAATTGTTTTATTAACATCAAATATTCATAATTCATGATGGAAATATGAACATTGCATTATCAATATTAGTTTTCGGAAAATATGAATTTAGCTGCAGTAGGACATTTTTCCTATTAATGTCCAGGGATTTATCTAAGATTCAAAGGGAAGTGCCATTGGCAGGCAAATTGGGTAAAAATCGCAACATTGTTCATAACTTCATAGTACTTTTTAATGGGTTTTTTTTCGTATTCTGAGTAAATGGACATTTTTAAATCCAGTTTTGGAATATTTTGTGTCTTTTGCTGCAGACTTGGCATCAAATGTCAGCCCCCTGAGCAGGTTTAGATAAGTTCCAGATATCTGTATCTTTTATAAATGAACATTTCTTCAAATTACTTTAGAAGCAGCAAAAGATTATATTTTCCAACTGACTTTTTTCCAATGCAGGCAACAGAGAACTTTGCTTGGAACATCCGAGTGTTGAAAGGTCAGGCTGACCTGGTGATGCAGGCTAAGAAGGACTGCCAGGAGTACATCAGACAGGTAGGTGCCGGGGTCCTGAGTCAGCTTATACAGCAGGACACACTACCTCCCATCTTGTGTTAGAGGGGCAGGGTGTGGCTCAGGTAGGTGACGGGGTCCTGAGTCAGCTTAAACAGCAGGGCATGCAGCCTCCCATCTTGTGTTAGAGGGGCAGGGTGTGGCTCAGGTAGTTGACGGGGTCCTGAGTCAGCTTAAACAGCAGGGCATGCAGCCTCCCATCTTGTGATAGAGGGGCAGGGTGTGGCTCAGGTAGGTGACGGGGTCCTGAGTCAGCTTAAACAGCAGGGCATGCAGCCTCCCATCTTGTGTTAGAGGGGCAGGATGTGGCTCAGGTAGGTGACGGGGTCCTGAGTCAGCTTAAACAGCAGGGCATGCAGCCTCCCATCTTGTGTTAGAGGGGCAGGGTGTGGCTCAGGTAGGTGACGGGGTCCTGAGTCAGCTTAAACAGCAGGGCATGCAGCCTCCCATCTTGTGTTAGAGGGGGAGGGGGTGGCTCAGGTAGGTGCCGGGGTCCTGAGTCAGCTTAAACAGCAAGACACACTACCTCCTATCTTGTGTTAGAGGGGGAGGGGTTGGCTCAGACATCTAAGACATCTAAGTTAATTTAGTTGAAACATATTCTATTCTTATGAAAAGGATTAGGCACAAGTTATCACAACTTTGAACGTACTCTCTGTAGAGTTGCATCCCTTTGGCGTACCAGAATCCTATGTTAGGGGTTAGAATCCCCAATTTGCCCTGAGAATATCCTTGCACGATTCATGACAGAAACCTATGATCATGGATTCAAATCCTGTTTGCCCTGATTATGTTTCTAGGTTTGTAAGCACCATACTCGTACTCATGGGTTTCACCGAAGTGGTAAACATCTAAAACACTTGAGGTGTTGTGACTCAGTTTAACTTGGGTGTGTCCCAAAGTTGTGAAGCTGCTCATAATATTGACCACTGGTTTGTCTGGTCAGATGTGATTATGTAGAGGTCACAGTGATATGGCTGGAATACTGCTGAAAACAGCATTCCAATGAACAAGGGTTTGTTTCATCTCTGGGTGCGTGGACAGTGTACAGATCCCCCCATTGTCATATGGAGGGACACCACGACACTGCCAAGGTTGCAGGGGTTCTAGGTTTTCGTTTCTTCTTCAGATCAAGGAAGCTGCAGTGTCAACAGGGCTGTCGAAGGAGTCAGCGGGGGCCGACGTCTGTAACAACCATCAGTCGGAGAAAGCAGTCATCACCGATGAATGAATCAGGTGACTATGACCTGAGTGTGTTACAGAAGGTGCTGGAGGCAGATCTGGTGCCGAGCGATTCATTGAATAATCTGTTAATCGTTTGAACTTGACATTAAAAAAAGTCCCTGAAGCTCAAGAGTTGAAAGAACAAAAAACATTTAATATCCAATCATCAGTAATGCAGTGAGCTGTTACTGTCATGTAAGTCTCTGTTGAATCCAACATCCAAGTGTCAGTTGTCAAGGAAACAAACTGACCCTTAATGTTTCATCAACCTGTATTTTGGTCAATACATAAACAGAATAACCTTTTCTTTGAAGTAGTGACAGCTGGGGACAGAATATTGACATTCCGTTGTATCTGCTTGGGACAGAATATTGACATTTCGTTGTATTGCTTGGGACAGAATATTGACATTCCGTTGCAGCATCTGACACATGCCTGAGTGACTCTGATTCAACAATGGATACTGGTTTCATGTCTTTGACGATGAATATGGCAATTGATCATGTTATTTTCTGTGCTTTAGGGGTCTTTGATTGATAAGTTTTGTTGTTAAGATTTACAATGAAGTAGAAATCCTAGCTTGTGTTGAAGATTTTGGAGGGTTTTTAGGGTGGATCTTATCTACATGATTTTTTAAATGCGTAGTGTTGCTGCAATATTTGATCACTGCATTGCAATTCAACATAGTCTACATCAGGGGTTTGACTGTAAAAACCAAGTTGTTTCCCGACCTCAATCTTTGCCCAACCAAGGAAATAAAAAATCTTATTCAGTTTAGTTTTACGCAACTTTTTTTACGCATGTTACGTCAGAACTAGATTTGTAGTCACACCCACATGGAAAACATCCTCCTATATTTAGACCTATTCAGTGGTTCCCTCAGCTTGGATGACATGGACATTCCTGCACTTCTATCCTTTACCACTTCCAGTTTGTGGCGCGAGTATCTCTGTTGTTTACATTGCAGTTTACGAACCAGGAAATTATTTCAGCTGATTTTGTCTTGATTTAAAAACATAACAATAAAAAAATAATTTTTAATGTTTATTTTTATGTTTCACAAGGTCATTTTTATGAGGTGAGGTGAAATTGGGTTTAACGTCGCGTCCAAGATTATTGCACTTATATAGCGACGTTCATTTTTATGAACATCGATTAGTCCCTCGAGACCATCCATAATCGCTGACATTCTCCAGATCTATCAATTGACCGATTATTTAATCAATTACTCCACCACTAGTTGTAGGCTAAGCCGGCTGTCAAGCAAGTAGCATATACAGTGGTCATATGTAAAACAACATTAGTTTTTATAATCAATTTCTGATTATTGATATGAATATTCAAGGTGATAACCAGCCCCAGTAAGCTGTACATCAGTGGGATGCAGGTTTGACAGCCAGTAGCTACAGATGAGGTCGTGAGGGGCCGTGCTAACGTACTACATTCTGGTTGTGGATCACAGTCGAGAAAATACCATGCACAACAAGTGAAAGATTCTCTGAAAATAAAATATCTGCAAAATGATTTTTAGACCAGACCATTTTTTAGATCTTGTAATCAACTCTTGCATCTCATTGTTGTGTTCTTGATTTGAAGAAATATGCTATTCTTGAAATATCGCTCCTATAAGATTCCAGCCAAGTTGTCTTTACCTTTAGGACATGTAGATATTGGTCACATTACTTTCTAGAAGGGCCCTGTAGATCCAGGGTAGAATAGGTCTTCAGCAACCCATGCTTTCCGTAAAAGGCGACTATGCTTGTCATAAGAGGCAACTAACGGGATCGGGTGGTCAGGCTCCCTGACTTGGTTGATGTATGTCATCGATCCCAATTGCGTGGATCGATGCTTATGATGTCAATCACTGGATTCTCTGGTCCAGACTCAATTATTTAAAGACCGCCATCATATAGCTGGAATGTTGCTGAGTGCGGCATTAAACAACAAACAAACGTTCTAGAAGATGGTGAACGTCATTTCCGTGTCCATACTTCTGCCTCCCAGTGGAACTGATGACCAAAAACTCATTCACTCAAGATAAAAATATTGTAATGTATAACCAATGATATTCCTTAACGACAAGGATTTGTGTCTATTTCAGCAGCCCTCAAGTCAACTGTCAGGAGTTTACACCAAATAAGCTGCCTTACTCTCTTTGTTTGACAAGCATGGAGGGAAACAGACACCAACAGTCCCGACCAGAAAGAAATGGAATACCTCAGCTAAACAAGACAAAGACAGAATCAGTCGAGCAGGGGCATAGAATCTGTGATTAGAAAGTATATGTACATTTATTTAATCAACTGTGATGCAGGTTCATGTGTATGTCAGGTTTGAATAGAGGTGTGTTATTGCCATGTTACTGATATGGAATATATATCATAATGACATGGGTTATATATGATGTTGGTGTGGAATATGCATTTCATGCAATATTCATGAATTTGATGTGATCAACATTTTGTATACATGATATCGGTGTGAAATATACAAGTATTCACATGATGATGTGTGATATTGGCATGTATTATATCTGGACAATGCATTGGGTTATAAATAAGATATTGACATGTTATGTACATGACCGTGAATCATGAACAGTTATGACACAGGTGTGTATAACCAAGTCTTTGATCATCATCTACATTGTATTAATGTAAAATACAAACATGTAATATACATGCTATTGACGTGTTATACATAGTCATGACATACACATTTCTACATTGTATTAACATACAATACAAACGTAATATACATGCTATTGACGTGTTATACATAGTCATGACATACACATTTCTACATTGTATTGATGTCCAATACAAACATGTAATATACATGCTATTGACGTGTTATTGACAAGCTATACATAGTCATGACATGCACTTGTCTGTCCCAACAGGAACAGGAACCTTGACTTTGTATCCATACCCTCAATATGCTCTTTTTCCAGAATTGTTGACAATGTGCCCTTGTCAGATGATGGGGTAATTGTCTGACATGATGTTGCTGTTTCATGACTGACAGTGACATGAATGATGTAAATATTTTCTCTCTGCCACGTGGCATCAGTGATCAATTTTGATTATAGAAAATGATATTTGTTTTTGATGTGAAAATGCAATTGATTTAGATAATTGTTGTATAGCTAAATGTTATCATCATTGAAATAGGATAAGCTATGTTATGTCTACTTATTTTCTGTGATTACTTAATCGTCTCATGACTGAAGTCATCTGAAAATTGTGATTTGGAATAAAATCTTTTGAGACACATTATTTTTTATAAATCAAATTACCTTGTCCCCCACTTGCTGCAATTAATGTTATATTTACTTCAGGTTTAAAGGAACTGCTGTTCCACTGATGCAAATAAGCACTAAATAACCTTGGTCCTGTTACACAAAGCGATCCTAGCGCTACGATAATCACAAGCCTATGTTAAAGGCCATGTAATGTCAACATAGCGACTTTGCGGATTTTAATACTTTAGAGCATACTTAATCACAAACGCTTGCCTAAAATGAAATTTGATAAGCGCAAAAATAGAAAAAAAGACCTTAAAAAACAACACACAAAATCGTCCCCCAAACGAAAAATTTCTCCTTTAAGGGGATTCCCCTTTTTGGAGGTAAAACGGGTTCTGAGTGTTTGACGTGCTCATTTCAATGATCATGACAATCAGGTCGATACCTAGTCTGCCTGCTTCTGCCTCGGATTCTGTAATACATTGTCTTTTTTCTGTCTGCTCATTCATTTGATTACCGTATCCACAACTTGTGTCACCTTATTAACAACATTGAAGATGCCTTGAGTTGTTTACTGAGGGAATTAATCCCTGACAGGCATTTATTTTGTGGAACAGGGCCCAGGGAAACAGTTGTCACCGCTGCACCACCAGCTTTAGGCCACGCCCCCAAACAGGTTTGTTTTGGAAGCCAGTTACAGAGCGTGTGATTTCAGCACTTTCTGCAAATATTATGACTTTTTATCTCCCAGACGTTGACTTATGTATTCAGTTGCCCTATAAAGCAATGGAGTTAAGATTGACTTAGCACTAAGATCTCTTTGTGGAATGGGGCCTAGTAATGTAAATTATACATATGTTTCAGTTAAAGTTGTTTGTAAATATAGACTTCTAATTTCAGTATGAGTAATTTGAAGTTTAAAAAAAATATTTACACTTATTTCCTTCTAATGCAGAGTTACTGCATACCAGAGAACATATTACACTGTTAGACATTATGGAAAATGTGCAACCTTTATTTGTCACTGTTGTTGTATTTTGTGAACAGTACAGGGGATTAGTTTACATGCAGTGCATCGACTCGCTGCAAGATGTAAATAGCCATGAAGCAAGGTTGAAATTGAACAGTTCATCATTTTGCAATTTCTAGAGTACCAATGTGTTCATTCATTGTACATAGTCATTGGAAGTTATGTATATACTGAACCTCAGTCGGGGGTTAGGAAATCAGTACTTTTGTAGCATGTTACATTACCTGCTTGATATCGGGCTGTGCAATCAACTGGATGCCATATGAAGTCTTTGTTTTTGTTTCCAATAGAATAAGTTGTTAGGGATTTATGAGAATGATTATGTCAAAGTTGTTGGTAGGAAACTAGTTTTGTCAGTTCAGTTGTCATGAAAGGGTTCTTGGTCATAATTAAATTTGATTGGTGAGTCCACGTAGAAAAAGTGTTCTTTGAGTTCATACATGAGAGGAGGTGCAAGTCTGTTTATTCAACTTCTGAGATGGTTATTGTTTTAATTATGTCTCAACAAAAGTAACAAGCTTTATTTAGATCTTAAACATGCATGCAAATAACTAAACAGACCAATTTCAACTTTTTTTTTATATTGTTACAAAGTTACAATAGTTTTTGTTAAAGGCTGCATATACTTGTACCATATTCATCCAAGCAGTATCTGAAATGTTCCATCAAATTATCATAATAAAACAAGAAGTTGAAATCTTCAGGCCAATTCTGTCTTCTTTGATATTTCAGCTTCGAAATGCCACATGAAAAGAGACTCTTTTTTTACAGATAGGACTATTAAATACTTTAATGAGCTATTGGTAAATATGAAAAGTCAACACCAGACAATAATCAGTCTTGATTATGTGCCGAAACAGATTCCATGGGGTGTATTTGAATGGAAATTGAATATGAATGGGTATGTGTACTGTCATTGTTTTGCTAATTGATCTGCAAACATTCGTTGACAATGATGACCAAATTTTTCTTCTTTAATTTTATTTTGAGGTTAGAGGGAAAATATTTCAAAACTATTTATTTCAGTTTTGTTTAAAATTTGATTATATATATGCTCCTCACAACAAAATAAGCATCAACAATTATTTTTTGAATAAGTCTTACATAAGTGCAAAATGTTTATACCCAAATACCCTAAAGGGGCAGAAAAAGTCACTGTACAATAAACAAAAGGGTGAACCATCCATGGAAACATATACTACTCAAAAGAAGTTAAGGGCCACCTGATTATTTCATATAACTAGTAATATGAAAGAGTTCTTAACTTCTTTTGAGTTGTATATATACCTCAACATTCTACAATTGCTGCATTTCCAGTGGCAACTGAGGGTGGTAGCCATTCCAGGTTTTCTCTAACAGATTAGAAAGACGTCATTTGTATACCGTAAACGAAAGCAGTAAATTGAAATAGTTACTTTTCTTTGTAATTAGCTTGGTATTTAGTTGCTCTGTTTCATGTTGGCTAGACTTGGCTGTACGTTGATATTTCTGTATGTTAAATGACAACTTGGATATCAAGTTACAACAGGCACCGGTTATTTGTTAGGGGAGGTCACTATGAAGAAATTCCTGAGGGTTTTACCTTAATAAACCAATTATGTAATGTTCATGATTGTTAGCTACTTTGGAACTTCAGGTCAAGGAATTGAAAACAAGACAAGACGATTATGGACATTCAGAATATCTGGCCCTCCCTCTTTTATTATGATTGCCCATTTCCTTACAGTCATTACACCCAGGAGACCAAGACTAACATCTAGTCTCTGAAATGAACATATTTTAAACTGTTGTTAGATTATAGCTATGATAGGAAATAAAGAGAGGCCCAGAGGCTCGCTTCATTTGCTGAAACTGCAGTAATGTAGACTTGCCCACTATTATAGACTTGCATGGGCTGTATTGGATATGTTTGTTTCAGGGTCTGTAGGACAGACTACATGGAGATCTTCAAGATCTTTGTACAGAATTTTATGTACTGCCCAAGACGACCTTCCTGCAATTAAACAGGAAACTCCTTGTTTGCAAATAAATTGTTAAATTTCATTTGTCCGTCCTAACAACTTAACAAATTTGTAGAAGTTCAGTTTGAGCAGTTGTTGTTAAGAAATGAACATTGATAGAAGTTTTGTTTCTGATTCTTGAGGTGAATACTTGGACATAATATTCTCCAGGAAAGTAGTGTAAGTTGTTGCCTAAATCTACTGTATATTGTGCTTATCTCATTTAAATATGGTATTTTCCTGTAACTTACTTTGTATATGAAAGCTTCAGATGGTTATTGTGTCTCTCTATTCTAATTGTCACAAGAGGCACCATGTAGCATGTCAAGTGAGCAACATGTTGATGTTTTGGTTCATGCAAACTATTGTTTCAAGAAAGCTTCACTGGGTGTCATTGGTTTGACCAAGCAGTCAATAGTCATTTGTCAGTAATAGGGGGTACAGAAGAATAAACTTCAATAAATAGTTTTAATGTACTCACCTACAGATTACCAGGAAGGATTGCTGTAACATGTGGTCTTGAAACCATATGCTTGTGATCGTTTGTTTTCCTAACATTAGTATCCTTCAAGTGACTTCTTTATTTGAAACCCTAGTTCATGGACCTTTACTGGTTTCCCAGAGAGTTGTTTGTTTCCAGCAACTATAGATCGGTTCATTGCTATTTCATTTAGGCAACATATTTAATCTCAAATGACAGAGTTCAAAGCTTTGAGACACAGGTCAACTGTTTTTACATGTAGCCAACATTTGCATACATGTATAAGAAAGTACAATTACTGTGAAAAGAATTGAGAAGTTGTGCTGAAATGTTAACAAATGGTTACCAGGCAATGCTTTGGCGAAATGTGGAGGCAGTAAACTATTTTATTGCCTATTTGTTTGACACTGTTCTCATCTTGAGGAAGAAAAGCTGCCCTGAATGCTCGTAATGATGTCATCAATGATGGACACTGTTTGTAATAGTTTGGACAGATAAGGCCTTTGGTTTGGAGAAAACTGATACTTTCATGTAGAATAATACTAAAGAGAATTAATTTATAGTTGTATGTTTTCAGTGAAAAACTTCATGTGACCAAACTCTGCATAGAACCTTATGTCTCGACTTTTGAGCATTCTGTAATGAACATGTGAAGTTTAATTTAGAAGTGGTATAATGTTTCAGTTATACTGATAGTACTTTCTATTCATCATGATATGCAGTGATATATAGTTCAAGAAACCAATGTAGTGCACTTTGAGTATGCAAGCTATGTTTTCTGCCTTCCTTATTCATTGTCTTATTTTGTTGACTTTATGTAGCATCTTTTATTCTATCATTCGTCACTTGCAGTTTTTGAAAGTTCTCCCTGGTTCATCTGCATATGAACAGAAGCCGTTTTCTTGACAAGTTTCTTGTATTTTTTTAGAAAAAAAAACTGTTGGCAAGAAGCCAGAATGTTGACATGAAGGTCCACCATCTATATTCCCATTATTTCTACCCAAGCTCTAAGTATTAATCCAGATACCCAGTATGTACAATTATGCTCATTGTTTGTTTCTTGTATAAAAGAAATATCTATTTATATTTACTTGTTATTGTGTCAGAACCTATCGGAACAGAGGTGACTTCATCATGTTCCAAGAACATTTGGTCATGTATCCTTTCCCTTCATCGTACCAAGGCTAATGCTATTGTTTTATTAGCCTTGGTTATATATAGAAATAGCCTGTGTAAAGGACATGCAGTGGACATCAGTTCTAAGTCAACATGGAACATAATTCATTGATCTCTCTACTCAATGCTTCCAACCCTCCAGTGTTGCTCAATTTATGAACATTCATGACCTGTAGTTTCAGAGAAATGATTGATGTGTAACAAGTATGTACATGTGCCAGTCTCAATTTTGTAGAAGCAATGGATTAGTTCCTCAGTGTCAGATGAATTTGGAGAACTGTTGACATTCAGCTCCCTAACCTCATCATCTGAAAACATCTTATAATAACAAATGAAGCTACCAATATCATTGTTACACTTTACATGGTCAGTGCATATGTAAGTTGCAAGACGTTAGAAGTTAATATGTATTCCACACTAGCAAGTCATTACCTAGTTCTTTAAGTTTATTCTGTAGCTGCATTTTCTGTCTGAGCAGGTCCTGTCCACAACTGATGCCACATCATCAGCATCTTCCGTCACATCTTTGCAATATTATGTTTGGTCTGATAAGTGTATATATGGTGTTGAACGCATGCACACTTAGAGATTACAGAATAGGAGCTGCTTGGAGGAAAGAATGGGTAGTCCTGCTTGTATTCGAAATCTTTGACTATCTGAAAAATTATAATTTTCTGCATTGTGTCTTTGTTGATGAAAAGATTTTTGACAGAGGAAGAATATGCATCTGAAGGCAAAGAGAAGGGTTGTCATGAAAACCAAATTAACACAGTCCCTGATAAAAATGTTGATTACTTCTAATGAGTTAATTTCTTACAAATTGACACCTTCTGGGCTGTTGGTTTTACACACTGACACTTTCTGGGCTGTTGGTTTTGCAACTGCAGTTCAGTTGGGAGAAACTAGGACTTATGTAGATTTGAATTTTGCTATGGGCATTATCACAACAATAGCCTCAGAATGTAAGAAATGACGTTCATTGAATGTACTTTCTTTATTGCGCCCAACAGGGTGTCTTTGGTCAGATCTGCACAAAACTACAACCATACAAGAAATCTTAGAAGCCCTTTGATGTTGGAAAATAATCTACCAGGTCAACATTGCCTTGATATGTAAATGCTTGACATTAGTCGATTCCTATTTGCTGCAAGTCTTTAGCTATTACGTTGCTGTATGTGTTTTGACCCACATTACATTGAGGTTTCAAGGCACAAGACAACATTGACTGTGACATGATTTGTTTTATCCTAGGTTTTGATGTTGAGCATGACATGAGCATCTTGCCTCTACTGTTACTTGGTCCTGTCAGGAACTTGAACTGTGACCTGATGCTGCTCTGCGAGAGCCTTGACATGTCACCTGTGTTACACTATCATGGCACTGTTATGGATCTGTCTTACAATCACTTGTTAGACAGAATATAAAGCAGTTTATAAGCAAATAAATCACTGTGGTGTTTGTTGTTTTTACAAAGAGTCACAGCTGCTGATCATGATGACTACTAGTATCATTGTAACCATCCCATGGCACTAGGTCTCAATGTTGCACTGATCTACATCCAACAGGAACACCATGGTTTTGCTACTTCCCCCAATAAAGTGTTCACAAGTCTTGTTCTCGTGGTTGTTGGTAATTGGTTTAACTCAAGACATGCCAACTCAGTTCTTGCTTTTGATTAATGTTTCTGGAGTAACAGATGACTGACGAGCAAAGAAAAAAAACTCTGATTTATTATGAAAGTGCTTCAACATTTTAATAGAGTTCTACTCAATTCTCTACATAATCTTACAATTTTGTTCAGCTACAACATTTATGCATTCATTTGTTAAAAAAAGACAACAAGCAATAAATAAAATGCTTTTTAATGCATCACAAAAAGTGTATGGCACTTGATTTGATGAAATATATTCTTCTAAAGTCAGGTACTGAAGAATGATTTAAAGAGGGACAAAGTACTTTATAACACTGATAAGATGCATCAGTAGGTCACTCATTACAGAATGATGAGGTAAACAAATGTAGACATCCTCCGTCAAATCTGGAGGATTTGATTATGTCAAGGATGGGTGATGTTTTAACAAATAGAAGCTTCTAATTTTCTAAAACGATGTCTCTAATGACCTCCAGAATTGTACATCACATACTGAATTTCATGAAAACAATGCTTGTTATTCATACCAATGTTTCTTTGTTATTGAACAATAGAAGTTTCATAAAATCTGTGGGTGTTATTAATTCGGTCTGCTCATGGATATTGGAACTAAGGTATCTGTGTCAAAGGTCAAGTAGTAACAGCAAGGAACATTTGTCCAGGCTGAAAAGATTTGCCTTTTGTATGGACAATGTTCATTCCATGAAGCATTAAAACATTGCTAGGTCATAGGACAAGAGCATGCAGAATCCAGAAAGAATATGCAGAATCCAGAGAGAATATGAGGAAACCAGAAAGAGCATGCAGAATCCAGAAAGAATATGCAGAATCCAGAAAGAGCATGCAGAATCCAGGAAAAACACGCAGAATCCAGAAAGAATATGCAGAATCCTAAAAGAGCATGCAGAATCCAGAAAGAATATGTAGAATCCAGAAAGAATATGCAGAATCCAGAAAGAGCATGCTGAATCCAGAAAGAATATGTAGAATCCAGATAGAATATGCAGAATCCAGAAAGAGCATGCTGAATCTAGAAAGAATATGCAGAATCCAGAAAGCACACAGAATCCAGAAAGAATAAGCAATAAAGAAATAAACATCCTCTCCATGACTTTATAGATCGATCTAAAATATGTCCTATTGCCGCAAGACTATGGTGATCGAGTGGACTGAGTGTGACTTTATGTGACCTTCCATCAAAGCGGAACGAGGCAGGATCACAAACTGTACCCATGTGGAGAATAGAACCCTGATCGTGGGCACGGCGAGCGAATGCTTTGACCACTTGGCTACTACTCTACACCCTCACTGACCTGTCCAAGAAGACCACGTATTCTTTCTACCTAGACTTTAATACACATGACAAACTCTGACACTGTGAACACCAAACTCCAGCAGGTGAAATGCTGAGGGATTTATACGAAAGGTATAAATAATGTTTATGTTCATTTGAGCAGATAAAAAACGCAGTGTCTTATAAAAGTAAAATATCTTTTAAATGCTGTTTGGAATGAGGTATATTATACAGTCCAACCCAACGCGTTCTTGCACTGAACTTGTTCACTCTCATCACCAGATACTGTCCAAACTTCACCGTTTCCTCTTCTACATTTTACATGTTCGTCTTGGTGCATACACCAATAAGTACACCCTTTTAGAACACGTTTCTGAAGCTGTTCCCAGAATCGTCGCTCGAACACATCCATGGTCAACTCTGAACGCTTCACAAGGCACTTCAGGACGGCATATTTAATCTCAGTGAATCCACATAAATCCATTCTATAGCTCTGTCGGGAGGAAGTATTTTGCAGTAATATAAACCAGCTCTTTCTCCAAGAGTATCTAAGTTTGGCGTCATGTACGAGATCGCCGTCACATGAAGCTCGTGCCCCTTGACTTCAACCAATAGCTGGGTGAGTTTCCAGGCTAGGTCACTCTGAACCAACATATCCGTGTGGAAAATAATGCCCTTGTGGCTGTTGTCGAAACGTCTGCGGGCAGTTTCTGACGCCTTGTTGTACGCGGTCAGGTAGGATCCCTGCAAATAGGAAGGTAGTATTTGCATAACGTATTCTGAACGAGTTGATGCTATCATGGTCCAATATTTGTTTCAAAGATATGATGCAACAACAAGTTCGGAAGTATGAGGAGTTACCAATCATAATAAGATGACATCTTTACACCCACCAAAACATTTTGTTCTTTTAAGCATACATCTGTTAAAATGCCTAAAGACGCTTACTGTAGATTTCCATATAAAACACTCCTTCTTTGAAATCATACTTCTTCTTTTTTTATGACGAAACACATTTATTTGTATTTTAGAAAGTGATACTCATTGAAACCCCCAAACCGACTCTGCATGATCTGATACTGCTCCGCGGCAATAGCTATGTGACTACCCTTTCTATTCCTTCCTCTTTCAGTTCCACCTGCAGAAGAAGTACCAGCAGTATCTTATATTAGGCATTTGTCCAGCAACATTCCAGCTGCTCCAGGCTTTGGTGCTTACTGTTCACAACTTTTGAGATACAATCGAGCATGCTCTTTCTACCAAGATCTCAAGAGCGTCATACGACTCTTGCACAGAGTTGTTTGATCAGGGTTACAACATTCAAGGCCTCAGTAAAGCTTTCAAAAACTTGTATGGTAAACATTTCCAAATTGGTGAGAAAAAATGATGTCTGATGCAATTCCCTATTTTGACTTGTACCATATATTCCCGTGTTTTTTTCGGGAGAACAATGAATTTGCCTTTGCTTGTGTTTGTGATAGGTGTGACCGGTGGGGCAGGATACGCTCACCTTTTCGCGAACACCTAGTATCATCACTATGTGATAGTGATTCATAAACACATGCTCATGATATATTCGGAATCGTACAATCGACTCAGCTTTTAGCAGAGATTTCTATGGAATATGGTAAGGGTTTTATCGCTTTGATTTATCCAAATGTGATCAACTTCTTTTGAGTATTATATTTCCAAAACATACATGGAAGTTCGAGAAGAGGAAAAAAGAATGGCGCTTAGCTTATACCAGGTGTACACTGCATCAAGCTGACTTTTTTCATGATGCTTTGGTCACTTATTTTACAGGGAAAGGTGATAATTATTATATATGTTTACTTAGTTAACCGAATCAATAATACTTGTGGACTGAAAACCCCTCGAAAACAAATTAAGACGCAAAGATTAAAGCACGGTCAAGCAGTTTTGGTGAAGTGGAACATTTCGGAAAATGGCCTCATGTCAGATTAGCATTTCAAATTGTATTGAAACAGAAAAACTAATACACTCTTGGGAAAAAGAAAATATACACCCATGGTGTGAAGACAGTGAAGCTAATACACTGCCGGGCAAAGGAAAGTATACCCATGTTTGATGGTGGCTAAAAATGAAACAAACCAGAAATGGCTATTTGATGGTGAAGTATTTGATATGGGTCTCATATTGGTGTTAAGTTTGCAGTGGTTCTGCGTTCCGCCACGTAACGTTATGTAATTTTTGTTAATAAATTCAATTGACTACATTCTTTTGGTCAGCATGCGCAGTTTATCCAATCTCATTAAAATCAGATCGACGTTCTCGCTGCCAATAATCAAAGATCTGAGGACATCCCATTACGGGTCAAGTCAGAACGATCTTTCGCGTACTTTGACCGACCACTGAAATGGCTAACATGAAGTCGACATCAGCAAATTAGAAAGCAGCTTTCTCGAGCTTTACAGCACTCGTTTCAACCTGGCGACTTCCATTTCAGACCATGCTTGAAAATTATGTTGACACAGTTCTTGATTAAAATTTTGAAAACTGAACGAACGAACATTCCGGAATGTCATATATACGGTTAAGATCGTATGGCAGTGAACCCCACGTACTCAGCAACGCCTCCTCCGTTCAAATGTGTATCTCACGGACGCGAGAGATAGACGATAATTTTGTCGGAATCAGTCGTACGGGCCGTAACTGTCGTTCGGAATACAACGTGTTTACGTCTTCGAGGTTGCATGATAAGAAAACACATTCCGACTGTCACTTTCATGATCTGGTAAGCGACTCTTGGATTGGTCGGATGAAGGGTCGTTCTTACGTGTCCCGTAATGGGATCTCCTCAGATCTTTGTTTAGCGATAGCGAGAACTAAGATCTGATTTTAATGAGATTGGCAGTTTATCATGAATGTTTATTAACGAGTTTATTTTAACACCTTCAAAGAATATAATTTCTTATTTGATTTAGCAACTCCATTTTGTTTCCTGTTATTCGTATGATTTCCACTACGCAATTCTTTTAATGCTTACGTAGTTGAGATCCCTGCATGTGTACAACTTTGTGATGTTTGTGTCTCCCAACTCTTTCTTTATCCTCTGAGGGCTCAACATCCGGGCTGCTATCTCAACGGGTGCTTCCGGTTTCTCATCGTCATCGGTTTCCTGTGTCTGCGCGCGCAACACGTCAGAGAACGTTATGACTACTGATTGGTGCCCCTCCGCTAGCACCGAGGGCGGGATTTCAGTGGCTTCCCCTACAATGTAACTCTCCACCTAAAGGGGTCAGAAAATGAAACATAAACAAAAATCAATATCTGATTTCACCAAAATTTCAGTGATAACTGTTCAATTATTAATTAAGAGTATATCCTGAATGTCATAGTTAAAACATTTTAACATACATGGTTTATTGTGTCGGCACCTAAGGGCCATAATTCAAAGTTTCATATAATAGTGTTTTTTTTCGCGTTTTTTTTTCATCTAAACTGTCCACATTAAATAGAGAATCTCACCCGAGTGTCTTTTGATATCAAATATATCAACACGAGTTGATAAAAGTGGAAAAATTCCGAGGCTTGCCGAGGATTTTTGCCACTTTTATCAACGAGTGTTGATATATTTGATATCAAAAGACACTCGGGTGAGATTTTATTTATCATCCAACATCATTCTTCCAACTTTTTCAATTTGTAGACAGTAATTAGCAGTGTCTTCAGTGTAAAAAGTACTGCTAACAGCTTCAGTAGCAGAGAAATTAGTGATGTCATTTGATTGTGACGTCACTGGTTACCAATGGCATCACAATGCTTCACCATGGTCTGCAAAGCATTGTGATGTAATTTCATTGCAGCGATATCTACAGTGTAGATATCGCTTGATCTAATCCAAGCGATATCTCCTGTGGGAGCCAGTTGTGGATGATAAATGACAATATCTTCATGACATTGTATGATAAGATAGATGAAAAGCATGGTCCCGGGGGTACTGACTGTGAGCCTCGTGGACTGGTCTCCCTGGAGCCCGGACAACCACTTCTGCGCCACCCTGACGAAGTAGGATTCACCATCGGGGTTCTGCGTCATCTCCTTCACCTCTAGGATCGGCTGTAAATGGATTGAACACGTTAAAAATATTTGTGTTGGTTGATATGTATTCCAGCTATATGACGGCAACCAGTATATGACGAATCTAGAGCGGACAATCCAGTGATTAATATTACGAGCAACGATCCACGCCGTCCGGCTACGATTCCATGGATCAACAAATCCATCGAGGCTCACCACCCGATCCATTAAGCCTCCTCGTGGACCAAGCCTCCTGGAGTCCCGGAGATATTTGTGAATAACACGCACAAGTAATTCCCTTATGTTAATGTCGTGTACCTCGATCAATATTTATTTTCAAATAAAAGATAAAGGCTCCTAGTTATGAGAGAGAAATGTTACAAATAGCGTCACAATGAGTGAAAGAAAAACATCATCTATTTTGCGACCTTGAAACATAAATTCAAATACACAATAATGTATACAAAATCTTTCATGATATACAAAACTGTTCCTCATAATATGTGTAGTATATACATAAATATATCTGACATATCTGATTATCAAAGGGTGAGTAGTATAGTCTGTTATTAAAGAAACAACGTCTGCGTTTCAACACATATCCATATCAGACGAGGTATATTGTGATGATAAAAAACCCCATTAAAAATAGTCATTAAATACAATGTCTTGTTAAGAACGTGTCAAAAGAGCATTGCAATCAATTACAAATATTTTCCATTTATCGAACCTTTGTTATGAATACCGCTTTGTCGTATGCTTCTCTAAACTGTATTTTGGCCACCTTTACGAAAGCGGCAGGCGCGTTCATTGTGTGGGCAATAAACAACGCCGTACAGTTGGTGACCAATCGCTGGCCGTCTTCTATGGAGCCTTCGGGCCTTATATCCAGAGTCTGCATGTTCCCAGGGAGTTCACCGGACGAGAAGACGCCGTGGTTGAAGCCGTCCATAATGACCAGTGGGCTGTGGTATATGAGGTCCGAGTCAAAGGCCACGTCATCTCTCATTGACCTGGGAAGTGGCCGATTACATCAAAACAATCAGACAACTCAATGAAAAGCATCAAATACACACAAACTCAGCTGTGATCATTCTCGTATGCCTCATATTGTGAAAGTTTAGAAGCACAAAAGTCAAAACAGTTCTATTTGCCTTGAAGGTATATATATATATTGTATTGGGTTCAATTGCAACAATCTTAGAGCTACAATAAGTGTACATACACTGACGTTCAAAACAAAGTATACACTTGAAAATTGGATTTGACGAATATAATACAAACGTTTCAAATCATGAGTAGGCTGAAAACAGTCGCCGAAACACTGCACAATTAAGGTCCAAAACACAACTATCATTCCCGTATAAAATACTTCACCATCGAGTAATTATTTTTGTTTGCTTCCTTTTTAGCCCCCATCATGGTGTATCTTTTCATTTGCCGCTCAGTTTACTTAAGATCGCTATCTGCAATCTAAAAGTATAGATCCCTTGTTGGCTAAGATCGTTAAAGTTGTAATCAACATTTACAAGTTATAAGAATTTATGCGTGGAGTGGCGAGGAGATAGGCTCGGAGCCTAACTGTGAGGGACTGCGTTGTTGGAGTTGGGTGCTCATAAACTAAGTTACCAGGACATCCTGCTTGTCTAGCTGACGCAAATGAGGATTGTGTGGCTACAATGTCTGGTCTGGCTATCCCGACTGTTACTCCTACTCTCAACTACTCGCTATACCCGCATAGCTCAGACCGCCAGATATAGCCGTATTGGTGCTGTGTACGGCGTAAAAGAACTTTCACGCACTCACTGACTTATTATTGCCTTTCAGAGTGAGTGAGTTGGGTTTTACGCATCTCTGAGTAATATTGTAGCAATATTCCCGGGGACACCGGGCTTCCTACATTCTACCCTCGTAGGGAATCGAACCGGACTTACGGTACCCAACGTCTCCGTTTTTAAAGACGTATGGAATCTTATGTTTTACAGTCGCAATGGATTGATGTGGTAAACGTTTAGTTCTGTTTCTCCGTGGCAGCGTTAACGTCATTATCAGCACATATGAGATCATGGGTTCGCCCTGGTTATATTTCTAGGTTTGTCAGCAGCACACCCGCACCATAGCCGTGCTCGTGGGTTTCACCAAAAAAGTAAACGTCTGAGACCTGCGTCACATCGGGCTTTCCTCCCACAGTAAGCTGGCACCCCGTGATATAACTGGAATACTGTTAAAACGGCAGTGAACCCAACTCGCACACTCCTATGAGATCACACTTCCTGAATCACGTCAACGACACTCACCTAAACGCTTCGGCCACGCTCGTTATCCGGGTTATCCCGTCGAGGTCTCCAGTGATCGTCATGATAGGGACTGGAAATGCAGATGCCTTCTTCTGTGGTTTTAGATATGTACCCATCAATATAATCCCACTGAAAAAATCTGGTACCTCAGCTACATATGTTGCAAGCATGGCCCCTGAAAAGTGAAAAGTTAGAACAAGGTTTGAGGGCGGCTCCATAAATGTAAGAAGAAGGTTTGAGGGCGGTTCCGTACAAGTATGAACGATGTTTAAGGGCGGTTCCGTAAAAGTAAGAACACGTTTAAGGGCGGTTCCGTAAAAGTTAGAACACGTTTTAGGGCGGTTCCGTAAAAGTAAGAACAAGGTTTGAGGGCGGGTCCGTAAAAGTAAAAACAAGGTTTGAGAGCGGTTCCTTAAAAGTAAGAAGAAGGTTTGAGAGCGGTTCCTTTGTGAAGTGTAAACACGGTTTGAATGTTTTGCGTTCAAAAGCCAAGATATAATTCTACCATCAGGGGATTACATAATGGTAGACAATGCAAACTTGTGGGAACAAAGAAATCAGTGGTCCGATTTCTTCTAATGTCTGCCGGCCAACGACTTTTGTCTCCTAAGACTGCTTTGTGGAACAGGTCACAGACAGCGTGGGGCCAACGACAATGAGACTGCCTGTGTTTTAGCCAACAGTAATCTTAATTTGATCCTAATTCACCATACAGCTTTTTCTGGCTATGGGGAAGTAAAACAACATGCACTCGTTCAGCAACAGTGTCTTCTGGGTTGACATTAACAGGCATTCATCACTCTCTCACCGCCTCGGCCGTGGCCAGCAACAAAGATGGCGGCGTCCTCTGCGTTCATCCCCTTGACCGTCAGCTCCTCCAGACCCATGATGACCGTCTCCCCTAGACTGTCCGGGGTCAGTGGTCCGTCTGTCTTAGTGTCCAGCAGACACACCCACAGAGTGATCCCGCTCTCGAACTGCAGGACAGCCGCTGAAACAAGCAGATGCAGATTGTTGTGATATAATCCACCCGATACAGAATCAGTAACGGCATCTGTACCAACAGTATGACATACAGTTTCAGCCTGGCTACTGATACCTGTACACACAAACACACACACACACACACACACACACACACACACACACACTAAATGAGGACATATTATATTCTTTATTGTATATATATTGGCTAGTTGTAGCATTGTGTTCATTGTTTGCAAAGATGCCCTTCGCAACAAGACATCATCACGAATAATTGACGTTACAAACTATTTATGTGACGTCGTTCTAACAATACGCCATGTGAGGTGACGGCTCCACCTGAGACCAGGAGACCCATGTTTCCTACTTTATCTCAGTAGACAGGGACAAATATAAACAACAACCTACTCGCCGCTCGGAAATACGGATTATCTGTCCTTCGTGAATCAATGTTGAAAGTTCCTTGACAAGACTCGTAACAGGCGGCAATGCTTGCCGTAAGAGGCGACCGACGTGATCGGCTGGTCAGGCTTGTGAGTTGGTTGATGCATATCATTGTATCCCAATTAAATAAATCGATGCTCATGATGTCAGTTTTATTCAGACCGACATCATATAGCTGGAATCTTGATGAGTGCGTCGTTGAACAACAAATAAACAAACAAACAATAATATAGCTGGTACATTGCTCAGTGAGGCGCCAAACAACAAACTCTAAGTCTTCAAAAATTGTTTAAAGCGTCTGTAAAATATTATCTTACATTTGGTTCCTCTTTCACGAGAGCGCCACTCACCGAACTTCTCGTTACGGCTTGGATAGGTCTACGTTAGTATGTAAGTCACTGAGATCTAAGAGCTAAGATCGCTTGGTGGAACGAGGTCAAGGTCAGGCTACAGAGCGGCGAGTGCTTAACAACAGACACATCATTTTGTTTACGTGGTAGTTGTTATCAACGTGGGAAAGTAATAAATGGATTACAAAGATTGTGTCGATCGTAGATGTAGCTTTGTTCTATATTTGCAGTCATAAGTGTTGTTCCTAAGAATGTGACGGGAACATGTTCAAAATCTGACGTTCCTATAAGCCATTGTCAAAGGGGGAACTAATATACAGTATGCTTCTTATAGTGTCGAGGTATTATTATTGCATTGCTAGTTGATATTTGAAGGCTTCCTGTTCATTATGGGGCGATCGGGTAGCCTAGTGGTTAAAGCGTTCGCTCGTCACGCCGAAGACCCGGGTTCGATTCCCGACATGGGTACAATGTGTGAAGCCCATTTCTGGTGTCCCCCGCCGTGAATATTGCTAAAAGCGGCGTAAAACCATACCCACTCTCTCACTCACTCACTCCTGTTCATTATGTTCGTGCCTCCTTTGCAATGTACGGATATTTTAAAATCAACTAAAGCACTACTCAAAAGAAGTTAAGGACAGGCCCGATTCTTTCAGATTACTATCAGTAATCTGTCCTGTACTTAAAAGTATATTACTCTTTTGAGTAGTGGGATATTAGTGGTTAAGGCGTATAAGTGTTGTTAATTGCATTTAAAAAAATCTTTTTATCAATACATTCGATCTTTGTGAACACCTGAAGTACCAGTGCTATCTTTTCCTACATGATTATGTTAATGATGGTCGTTTCTGTCCCTAATGACATCAGACTATGACCGTTAGATCGTCTTGTTTATGGCAATAGCATAACACTATTCTACATTGCCTCAGGCGTATTAAATTCATTTCCTAAAGCAATGTCTGAGAAAACGAGTGACTGTCATTTTCCGCCGCAATCAGACATATCCCATTGGAAGCCAGTAACTACTGGACTCTTGGTCATGTGTACCAGTAGCTGACAGCATTGGCAACTCTCCACACCGACACACAACCAGCCAGTCAAACATTGCAACCATCTGATTCTCAGTTTGGTCGGCTCTTCTGACAAGCATCCCATGAGAAACACACTGGAGGTATTGGTGATCTATTCGGACCCGGAGTTCCAACAAAGAGACGTGGTTCACACTAGAACCGCCACATTCTTCACGCGGTAAAGGAGAAAAAGATATTGTCAATTTTAGTTATGTCTGCATCGTGTCATCCTTTCCTTGTCCAGCCTCATCAGCTAAATGAACTATTCTATACTATTTTCTTTTGTCCCATTACACAACACCATCGGATTTAATTGTATATTTATCAATCATCACTCTCTCTGGGTGTACCTAACTCAACCTTAACAACACAGCTTTCGTTGCCCGCCGCAGGAAAACCAGTCACTTGATGTTTATGTCTGACGGCGTTCCGTCTATAAAAACAGACACAAGATACCATTTCTGTAAGCAGAACTGAGGTGGTCCATTGTCCATTGTCTGGCATCTGTTGCGGGTGGTCATCTACAGACGGATCAAGATAAACAGACATTACTTCTCAAGTATTTCTGGCATTCAGAAGAATGGTCAACGCGAAACTAGCACTGCGAGGTCTGATGTCTTCTTTACCATACCATGCCAGGGAAGGGGGGAGGGGTTGGGGCGGGGCTTACATCAAATGGTTGTTCTCTTAGCCGAATGGAATGTATTTCATACTAGCATCATCGACAGTGGTCGTTCTCTGGCGTTGACTTTTATATTCACACAATCTTCCGCTCTGATCCTCAACAGTCTTCTCGGGAGAATGATATGCCTGATCCATACAAACACAAATGTGATCGTGAGGAGCTTTTCCTTCCGCAACATAACACATGCCGTTCAGTGGTTATCCTGTTTCCTATGTTCAAGTTGACATGTTCCTTACTACATCTCGGCCTGGCTTACTTCCCATGCTTCACGTGGCCAGCATGGAGACATCACACACAGACCCCACTTCATAGCTTCAAGGGGCGGTCAGGTAGCCTCGTGGTCAAAGCGTTCGCTCGTCACGCCGAAGATCCGGGTTCGATTCCCAACATGGGTACAGGGTGTGAATCCCACTTCTGGTGTCCCCCACCGCGATATTGGTAAAATATTTCCGAAGGCGGCTTAAAACCATACTCACTCACTCATTACTTGAAGACATTGGGTTGGGTTTAACGCCGCTATCAACAGTATCTACATCATATCACGACGTGGCAGGAGAATTAGGGCGAACCGGCATTCGAACCTACGATCATAGGTTTCTGGCGTGACCATGAATGCAAAGAATCGACCCAATATCAGCAGGCTCTGGCACGCATAAGGGACGCAACTCTTCACAGCGAGTTGTGTCGACGTATTTAATACAGATGCTTTTGTTACAAATGCAGAAACTGTCCCTGATTATGACCTCAAACATTACGTTTAAGCAACTTATTCATAGATTTATTCATGTATGTTTAAATAATAACTTCATATTCCACACTTCAAAAGCATTTATCATCTTCAACTCACAAGGTGTTTTAATTAAAAAGAATATTCTTTTCCACACTGACAAGACACCGGAAGTTTCAAATCCCACTACAATTAGATGTATAAATTGTTTCATTTTTATCGCCTTCTGTGACGTTTTTAACTGTGTTGAAACAGCAACCCCAGAACAATACAGTGGCTATTTATTACCTTAGTCTTTCATTACGATAACAAGGCATTGTGACAGCTGTACCCCCAGTGTCAAGTGCGGCCTTTATAAAGGTCAACTATTTATGAGTAGCGTTATTTCATGTTATTAAACACGAGCTGATACATGTACTGTCAAACAACGGATATTTATACTGTCAAACACGAAGTGGCGTTTGCACTGTCAAACACGAGCTGCTATGTTTGTTTGTCGTTTAATGCCGAACTCAGTATTCCAGCTATTTGACGGCGGTTTGTAAATAATCAAATCTGGATCAGACAATCCAGTGATTGACATCATGATCATGGATCTAAGCAACTGTTGAAATATGTATTGTTATGCTTGATTGTGTTGTGTTTTCAAGTATTAATTATCATTAATTTTCGGTTGTATAACAATGGTTCATTTCCATTTTCTCCCATGGTTTTTTTCTGATTTTGATGTCTAAGATTCGTCCAGATAATTGAGTAAGCAAGATTTATACGTCAAGGTTCTTTTAGCAATATTTCAGCAATAATACGACGGGAACGCCATAAATGGGTTTGACATCGTACCAATGTAGGGAACTGAACCCGTTCCTTTCGGCGTTACGAGCGAACGCCTTAACCGCTAGGCTACCCCTACCGCCCTTTAGCGCCACAGGAGATATTGTATATCGTGGCTCCTACACTGCCGGACAAAAGCATGTATCCACTCGTGTATGATGGCGGCTAAATATGAAACCAACAAGACATGGTTACTCGATGGTGATGTATTTCGGATACGGGTATCATAGTTGTGTTTTGGAGCATAAGTTTGCAGTGTTTCGGCGACTGGTTTGTAATTTTATGGTAAACTCCTATTTTCATGTGTTTATGCTATTTTCCCCGACAGTTTCTTTGAAATAGTGAGTGAGTGAGTGAGTGAGTTGGGTTTAACGCCGCTTTTAACACTATTCCAGTTATATCGTGGCGTGTCAGCTTAATGTGGGAGGAAAGCCCGAAGTGATGCAGGTCTCAGACGTTTACCACTTCGGTGAAACCCACGAGCACGGGTATGGCGCTGACAAACCTAGAAACATAATCGTGGCGAACCGGGATTCGAACCCACAATCATAGGTTTCTGGCGTGCCCAAGGGACGCAACTCTGCACAGCAAATCGCGGCCACCCGTGTCCCCTTCTTTGTAATAAAGAACAATCTTAAAAAGGAACATATATGTCCATATGGGGCTCTGCTTTATTTAACATGTTCACATAGCTGACAAAGGAGTCATATAATTGAACAGTCATATATATATGGATAGCATTTGTGAACGGTGATCAACTGCATGATAATCCTAATTATGTCGCAAGAACGACATTTGAAAACTAATTTTAAGTGATATCAATTACCTAATGGTTGAGACTGTCGGCACTGCTTGGTTACCCATAATGCATCACCAACATGACATGTTACAATGTATTAT